GAATAAAATGAAATGTATTTAATTCAATTAATTTCCATTCCATTAATATTGATATTTATGAAATGAGTGAAATAAGAAAAAATAGTAGAAATACATGATATAAATGTCAAAACAATTTATAAAATGAAATAATGATTAGATTATTGATTAAATAACCATATAATAAATAAAATAAATGTAAATGATATTTAGAACAAAACATAAAACATAAAACATAAAACATAAAAGAATAAGAATAAGAATAAAATAAAGAAATGAATATAAAACAATTATAATGTAATATTTAAATAAAGAATGAATAATAGAAATATGTCATGAAAATCAAATAAAAAAGAAGAAAAAATATAAATTAAATATATCAAATGTATTGATTCATTTTATCATTTGTTAAACACTCAAAATTTAATTAGATTTGAAATAATTGAAATTTATTATCATTGAAATAAAATATTTCTTTGTATTTAATTATCAAAAATAATTAATTAATTACAAATTATTCTGAAATATTAAATTTGATTCTTATCTGTCTTTTTATTTAAATTCTTTTGAAACTAACTCTTTCTGTTTATTTCTTCTCTTTTGCTTTCTGTTTTTATGTCTTCTTCTATTATACTTCTCTCTTAAACTCTTTAAATTTATCTTTTTCTCTTCTTTGTCTTTTCTCTATTTCTTATCTTTTCCTTCTTCTTTCCTTATTCATCATTTTTATCATTCAGTTTATTCTTCTTTTTATATTTAATCATTCTCTCTTTTCTTCTTTTTGTTCTCTTCACTTATCTTCACATATACAAATCATCAATTCTCGGTAATACTACTCTTCTTTCTATCTCTTCTTTATCTTTTTTGAATAGAAGGAGTTTTGTTATTTTGTTATTTATTTTTAATAACAATAAATTAAAAAGAAGAAAATTTTTGTGATTTATTTTTGGAATAAGAAGAAAAATAAAAGAAAAACCTAAAGAACTAATAAAATGTAGAATATAGAATGAGTTCTGATAATGAGGCTGGTAATGATAGTTATAGTATGTCAGAGGATTCAAACAATGAGGATCTTGTAATAGATTATTATGACGATTTGGGAGTTGACAATTATATTGAAGAAAAAGAAATTAAAGGAGATGATAGAACAACAACAAGATTTATGACAAAATATGAAAAGGCAAGAGTACTTGGAACTCGTGCCCTTCAAATTTCAATGAATGCTCCAGTTTTTGTCCCATTAAATGGAATGACAGACGCCCTTGAGATTGCTATGGCTGAATTAAAAGCAGGTAAAATCCCATTTATTATCAGACGTCGTTTACCAAATGGGTCATATGAAGATTGGAAAGTTTCAGAACTTATTGTTGAATAAAGAGATATAAACAATTTTGTAATTCCTTATAGTGGATTAACAGTGATTGAGTGCTTTTTGAATTTATATTGTCTTTTCTATTTGAAAGTGATTTGTTTTTATTTTGTTTTTAGAAAGTAATTTTATAATAAATAATAGTTTAGGTTGATTTATATTTTTGTTGTGAAGAGATCTAATAATTTCAAGATATTGAATAGAAGAATGGATGGAAATTGTACTTTATTGTTAAACAACCCTTATCGAGATTTTCGGGTTGAGGATGTCAGTAAATCACTCTCACAAACAGACGTTAAATCAAAAATTACCGCATTAACAAAAGTTTGTTTGATTAAATGAAATAAAAAAGAAATACTCATGTCTAGATTATTACTGCTGAGTTAAATGGAGACCATCACCCAGAATTATTAATGGAGGTTATTCGAAATGCAATGCCTTGTACTGAACATCAAATTAAACGATTAGTATTAATTTATTTAGAGTCTATTGATAAAATGGATAAAGGAGAGTTAAGACCAGAACTTATTTTAGCTATTAATGGTTTATTACAAGACTTAAACCACCCAAATGAATATATTAGAGGAATTACTTTGAAATTTCTTTGTCATGTATCAGAAAAAGAAATTATTCAACCACTTGTTAATGCTATTTTAGAAAATATGACACATAAACATGTTTATGTAAGAAAAGCTACAGCTAATGCTATTGGTCATATTTATCAAGTTGATCCTTCGTTAGTTGAACATGCAGGGGATATTCTAAGAAAAGCATTAAAAGAAGAAAAAGATTCAATGACTCGTGTTGTTATATTTTCAGTTATTACACGTTATTTACCAGAACATGCTATTAAATTCTTAATTTCTATTGCACAACAAATTACTACATTTTCTGAACCATTTATAATGGTTGTTCTTAAATTTATTCGTTTAATTTATAAATCAACACCTCAATTCAAAAGTAAATACATTGAGATTTTAGGATGTCTTATTTCATCAAATTCATTAATGGTTAAATTAGAAGTTGCATCAATATTCCCTTTGATTACAGGTAATGCTCATGTTGTTACTCAAAGTATACAAACACTAGTTGATGTTGTTTGTTCTTCATCTGATGTTAATGTCAAAATAATTGGTATCCAAAGAATTAAAATGATTTGTTCAAGATATCCAAAAGTTATCAAAGGAAGTTGTATTTCATCATTACTAAGAATGCTTTCAATCCCTTCTATAAGAAAAGATGTTCTTCAACTTGTAATGACATCACTAGCACCACGAAATGCTGGTGAAATAGTCACTGCTCTTAGAAAAGAAATAGGAAAAGATGATACTGGATTTGTTGTTGAGGTGTTGGTTGCACTTCGTAAATGTAAAGAAGTTAATGAAGGAGTTGAAATCGATGATGTCATGTTTGAAGCTTTAACTACACCAGAATTAGCGAAAGAAGCTATTGAGTATATTGAATATCGTCTTCAAGGAGAACAAAGAGAAAATACGGTTGCAAGACTCATCGACTTTATTGAAGAAGTTAGTGACAATAAAACATTAAGAAGTATTATTTGGATGATATGTGAATATTGTAGTCATTACGATGAGGTTATTAGTATGTTCAAGAGGTTGATTGTTGAATTACCAAATAAAGAAGAAACATTTATAGAAAAAGATATTGAAGAGAAAGAAACCGAAGAAGAAAAGAAGGACAATGGAATTATTGAAAGTAAGACTGTTGTATTAGCTGATGGTACATATGGAAGTGTTATAGAAACATTTGACAAACAAACTGAAAAGAATAAATTCTTCCAAAAAGTTGGATTAAGAACAATGATTGAACAAATGGATTCATTGGTTATTTCTAGTTTAGCTATTGGTATTGCAAAGATTTGTAGCAAAGTTACAGGTAAAGAAGGAAATTGTATTAGAGCAAAAGGAATTCAAATATTACTTGAGGTTATCAAAATAGAGAAGAAAAATGAGACACATAATAAGATGAGCCAAGACTGTAAAGAAATTATTCAAAACATCATTTTTATTATTAGTGGAAAGAAAACAGAATATAATGAACAAATGAAACAAATTGAAGAAATAGAAAAAAATATTCGAAAAGAAGTTGAGGAAGGAGCTAAAAGAAAAGAACATAAAGACATTCATCAAATTGATGAAAAAATTCATTATGAAATTTTCAATACCGCTGATGAAGAAGAAAATGAAGAAAAAGAAAGTAGAATTGAACAAATTAAAGGAGAAAGAAAGTTAGAACGTTTAAATAATATTGTTCAATTAACAGGATATTCTGATCCATTCTATATTGAGGCTATTGTTACTGTCACTCATTTTGATATTACTTTAGATTGTCTTATTATGAATCAAACACCAAGCACATTACAAAATATCACTATTGAACTAATTCCACATGGAGGAATGACTGTAAAAACTAAACCATCACCAGTCACTCTTGGTCCTGGTGATTTTGTCCGTGTTAGTTTAGGAGTTAAAGTTGATGCAACTACTGTTGGGGTTATTAGTGGATATGTTAATTATGATATTGCTGATAAGAATGTTACATACAATGCATTGGATGCTAATTTGATATTAAATGAATTAAGAATTGAATACTTGGACCAAATGAGACCATGTGATGTAGATATTGAAGTGTATCAAAAGAAATGGATGGAATATGAATGGGAAAATAAAATTCCTGTTGACACTGAATGTACTGATTTAAAAGAATATGCAGACTTATTATGTTCAATTGCTAAATTACAATGTATCACACCAGCAATCATGTTTTGTGATAGCATTGGATTTTTATCTGCTAACTTCTACGCAAAGAATTTGTTTGATGAAGATGCATTAATCAACTTATCTGCAGAGAAAATAGGAAATAAAATCAGTGGATGGGTTAGAATCAGAAGTAAAACTCAATCATTAGCAATTAACTTAGGAGACCGCATTGTTGCTAACCAAAAAAGGGTTAGTCCAAAATAAATTGACATTTTCTTATTCTTTATTCAACAGAATTACGTCTTGTTATTATTTTGTTTTTATTTCAATTCTAATTTATAACGGCATTTCACTCATCTTTCTCTTTTCTTATTTATTATCCTCTGTCTTTTCTTTATTGAGGCACCTCTCTTTGTATTTACTTTCTTCTTTGTCTGTACCTTATTATTATTTCACTATTTCTCATTTATTTTTTATATCATCACTTAACCATAATTGTTTCATTATGTAATTTAACCAATTCATCTTGTTCTTCTCAATGTAAATGATTCAAACACTTAATTAACTTAAATAACCAAACTTAATTTTCAACTATTTCATTAAACCATCAAATATACGACACTAGTTTATATTTTACTTACAGCTAATACTATGAATAAAGAAAAAACTTGTTAAAGAAGTGAGAATTTTTTGAATATTTTTCACAATTAACTCTGTTTTTGAAGGTTAATAAATAGAGTATAAAAAAGATAAAAGAAGATGAAATGAATAAAAGAATAATTATGGATGTTGATATTCAAAGAAATTAGTGTAGTTATATTAGTTTTTGTGATTCAACAGATATATTTAATTTTGTAAGTCATAAATCACACATGTCGTAAGACATAAAAGAAGATGAAAGATAAGAAGTATTGAAATAACAAGAATTAAACAATTTAGATAATACAAATAACAAAATCTATTAATAGAACATCAAATGTTATTTGAGTTAAAAAAACAAAAAAGAGAAATTCCAAAAATAAACTTAAAAAAACAAAGAATGGAAAACACAACTTTTGATAGTTCTGATCCTTTTGATTATCCAATTGAAAAATTACCAGACATAATAGGAAAATATCAACGAGGATTATTACTTGGACAGACATATGCAGGATTTATATATTCAGCAATGAACAATGAAAGTAAGAAAATAGTAAGTTTAATACAAGTATATCCACCATTTGTAACAATGAAATGGGAAGTTTGTTAATTTTTATTAGAAAGAAATAACAAAAAGCAAAATTGTTTTTTTAGAAGAAATAAAAGAAATAACAATAAAAGGAAGTAATTGAATATCAAAAGAAATTAAATCAAGGGAATATCTTAAGTATTGAAGAAGTGATTAGGGAAGAAAATCAATGTATATTAGTTGTTGAATATTGTGGATTAGGACAAATCAGTGATTATATTTATTCATCAACACGATTTAAT